CGTGGCTCCCGGAGCCCCGCACTGTCCTTGGTTTGACAAAATACAACCTGTCGGAGATTACACGCAAGCGCGGCCTGCCCTCAGCCCTGAGACTGAGCACTAAATCATCTCATCGCTGCAACTGTTTGATGTGGAAATACACAAAATCAGCACACAGCAGCACGAATAACGCCCCAGTAATAATAACCATAATCATTTCAAAATAAAATCTAAATATGCCAGAGAGGCTGCAGGGAATGCAACTTTATTTGGAAGAAGGAAGAGTTTAGTGAGCACTCACCGCTTTGCTTCTCTCTGATTTTTCTCTCAAAAATTCATTCATCACCATTCATCTGGCTTCCTCTTTTTTTTTCCTCCACGCAGCATCTGGGTTTGTCTTTTCCAGCCTCCTCTCTTTATTGCGCCGCTGCGGCTGCTGCTGCCTCCCCGTCAGCCCGATCAGGAAAACCAACAGATAAATGGCTCTCGCCTGGGGAAGCCCGGGTTGTATGAGGCTGGAGTCTGTGCGCACACACAGCTAACATAGCCTGGGCTAGTAGTGTGTGGGGCAAATCCAGCCTAAGCGTCAAAACAGCCGATAACATGGAATAATTACAAGTCTGTTATTATAGAGAGCGACCGAGAGCTGCAGCTCTTTGAAATAAATCTCTCCGGAATGCAGAGCGTGAGCTGCGAGTCGTGGGTTTACTGTTGGGAGTTGCTCTGTGGCAAACGTTGGAGAGCTGTTCCTCTGTACTAAGGTGAGTGTTGAGACAGTGAGTCTGTGGACAGGTTGCTTTCTCCGGAGGCGACATTGTAAAAACGCAAGCCGAGAGAGGTGATGCCTCCACCGGCCAAGAACTGAGGGCTGACCCGGTGCTTGGCTTGGAAATGGGGGTGGGATTTCCCGATCTTTCCTGTCATTGGTTAATATTTTATTCTGTTGACATGTTTTCTTACTGCTAATGCTTCCGACACCTTCTTGTCCACCCCCTCCTCTCTCCTAGAGTCTGGCCGGAGCTGTCAGAACCACGCCTATAGGGGCCCACAATTGGTCCAGAAAGCGTAAAATCAGCAATCAAAGGGGCTTGGTTCATTAGTGTTGGGGATGGAGACAGGAAGGACATGTGAGATAGTCACAGATCTGCAGTGAACGGGGCCACATCTCTCCAGTCAGTGTGGGATGACTGAAGCAGAGGAACTGCTCTGAGAGGCACTACAGCGCACCCGGGCTCTGCCTTCACAGCGCCGCTTCAACTGAAGGACTCGGCGGAGGAAGCAAAAACGGAAAAGCACACATCAACAGCAACTCTGGGCTATTTTCTTCACCCTGATAAGCGCCGTGTGTCTGACAGGGCGCCGCGCTCTTCTGTGCCGCTTTACAGAAATTAACTGCTCGCGAAGCCGCGGACCTACACTGGCTATCTGAGGGGGGAATACCACTAAAAACATCCATTATTTCACTTCGGTTTTTGTGGATGCACCGATGAGAGATCCAGTTTTTACAGGGACTGCAATGGCTTATCACCCTTTCCACGCACACCGGCCGACCGACTTCCCCATGTCCGCCTTTCTAGCGGCCGCGCAGCCTTCCTTCTTCCCGGCGCTCAGCCTGCCTCCCGGGGCGCTCACCAAGCCCATCCCGGACCACGGCCTGGCCGGGGCGGCAGAGGCTGCGCTCCACCCGGCCCTCAGCCACCATCAGGCGGCTCACCTCCGCAGCATGAAGAGCCTGGAGCCCGAGGAGGAAGTAGACGACGACCCTAAAGTTACACTGGAAGCCAAGGATCTTTGGGACCAGTTTCATAAACTCGGGACGGAGATGGTTATTACCAAGTCCGGAAGGTAAGAATGCTCACAACTATAATCCCCCTCATGGATATACCGAGGATACTTTATTTTTATTTTTAAAACCGGCAGTTTGTCTGTGTATGTGCAGAATAAGACAGTTAAGAGCCGCTAAAAAGCCATTTATTCACGTTTCTAAACGGCAGCGTGTTCCCCAGGCCTTTGGTAGTCGGCATTTATTTCCACACCGATTGTCAGCCTGTTCTGCGATTCATTAAAATACACAAGAAAATGAGATCACACTACGAGAAAATATCCAGTTTACCTCGCATTATACATTAAATATATAGTTTTTAAATGGAGTTCCAGCCCTACGGCTGTTCGTGCACAATTTGAGGTAAACTGGCTTCATTTCTCAAAGAAAGTAACTTAATGAAACGTCAGCTTTATTATTAAATACTTATAATACATTGCTAGACTGATCAAAGTACATATTTGGGATATTTTGGAGGGGAATGTGACCTGAGCTTTAATCAGGTTTTATCTCCCAAACTGCAGAGCTTCTGGATTTTATAAACAGGCTGTCACTTCAAAAAGCAGGGACGTGAAGTGGTGTGGTCATAAATATACTGCTCAGCTTTGTAGTGCAGGGCTTGGACAACACACACACACACAGGAGGACGCACACACACACTATGGTTTTGCCTAATTGCGTGCAATATCTGACAATTACAATATTTCCTCCCGTCAGAGCGCAGCGTTCTCTCCTTCAATGCCTCTTTTGTCACATTTGTTCGAGTCCCGTGTGATAATCTGATGTTATGTTTTGGTTGAATCACGGCGTGTTGACTCCCTCTGTGTGTGTGTGTGTGTTTTCTCTCCCCGCAGGAGGATGTTCCCCCCGTTCAAAGTGCGAATAAACGGCCTGGATAAAAAAGCCAAATACATCCTGCTGATGGACATCGTGGCGGCGGACGACTGCCGCTACAAGTTCCACAACTCCCGCTGGATGGTGGCGGGCAAGGCCGACCCGGAGATGCCCAAGAGGATGTACATCCACCCGGACAGCCCGGCCACCGGCGAGCAGTGGATGGCCAAGCCTGTTGCTTTCCATAAACTCAAGCTGACCAACAACATCTCAGACAAACACGGATTTGTAAGTACACTGAGTTGTTTTTTTCTCGCCTGAGCAGAGGCATTTTTCTCATATTTACATGCTGTGTGAGGTGCTGGAAGAGAGCGGGGCAGGGCGGTTTTTAGGCGTTTTTGAGATCAGCTGAAATTTTAATGAAGCAACATGAGGAAAGTGGGTCACTGTAAGAGCAAAATAATAATAAGAAACAGGCAGGAGAAATTGAAAATTTAAAAAAAATGCTGAATTCGAAACCACTGCAGAGAAATTGTATACCCTAGTGATTTTATTCCCACAAAGGAGCACATTTAAAATATAAGTGCGGAAAAATGCGTTTAAATTCATGCTGTTGAACGTCTTTACGTCCAAAGCTGTTGACACTTTGTCGCCACTTGACTTTCCACCGCCGCTGACAAACACACAGCTTATGTTTCCCTGCAGCTCCCCACAATATTATCAGCCTGCGCTTCCTTTTCTCCTCCCGCATCCATAATATTAGAGCCAAACACAGCCCCAGCTCTGTGCAGCAGCTCAGGACCTGTAGACCCGTGCATTTCTAACCGAGATTTTATTGGGAATAAATAAAAAAACATAACATGTGAGCTGTAAGTGGTGTATCACCAAATCGGGTCAGAGAGGAATGACGTTAAATGAGCTTGAATGGCCGCAGCCTGTAACCTGATAGTATACTGTATAGTATAGTATAGTATAGTATAGTATAGTATAGGTTTGTGGTGTTGTTGTGTATATTGAGTCTATAATGTTCTATGGACCAGGGGCATATCTACAGATATATTCATGGGGTGGCCAGAGAGTGGCATGGTTTTTTTTTAAGGGGTGGCAAACAATAACATATAATATATATGCTAATATAATAATATTTGCTTGGAAAAATGTCTATTTGAACTCAAAAACATTACATTATTGTGGCACATTGAATAGAAATATCTAAATGTGGCATTAGAAATCCATAAATAGTTTATTTCTGTTTTGTTTTACCAAATACATGTGTTTAATAATTTAACCTATCGCCTTATCACTTAGTCTATCTAAATGTGGCCATAACACATCATAAAATTAATTAGAGTTTTTAAAACCTTATTTATTTTTATTTTTTTAAATGAATTTAAATGAATGTGTTAAATTTGCCAGCTGCTTTGGACTGGTGCTGTGGTGTCTGTAGGTTTAACACACAAGATATATATATTATTATTTTTTTTACCATGTTTTCATATTATTTTACTGATGCAGTAATAATATGCAGGAGGGCTAAAAATAATCGGAGCAAATGATAAATGTCTGAGAAAGTCCTTGTGACTGGCAGGCACAGTGTGCTTCCGACTGGAAACAAATTCAACATTTACATGTCAGTCTAAATTTGCAATCGGTTACACGCAGGATTTCTTTTCATGCTGCCTGCAGGTCTTTATTTACACATTATGTTGGGAAGTTAATGTCTCAATATTTATTTTTTTCATCAGGATTTAACAGCGTTTGGTTTCTCCGTTTTATATTTGTATTTTTGGCTTATTTTTCTGAATTTTGAAAATATATTTAATGTTCATAGTCTGTGTTGCTCTGTGTGTCAGAGCCTCCAGGCTTGTAAAGTGTCTGTACTTGGTGGTACATTTAAAATGAATGAAATTTGTTGCTTTTGTCCGGATAGAAACTGGATCAAATCACTTTTCTTTTTTTTTGTTTTCTTTTTTTTTGCTGTGGTTCTGAGTGCTCATGACAACATGTGTGGCCTGGTCAGGTTTTTCCCTTTTGCCCCCGCACTAATTACAGACAAGCCTGCTCACACAGTAATTATAACAGCATCAATAACAATGCGCCGGATGATCCGCCGTCAACATACTCCGGTTTAATATGGAGGGAGAAAAACATCAAAGAGAGACATAAAATGCTGTGATATTCACTCCAAAAGCTGTGTGTGTTTGTGTGCGTTGGTCCAGACAATCCTGAACTCCATGCACAAGTACCAGCCCAGGTTCCACATAGTGCGGGCCAACGACATCCTCAAGCTCCCATACAGCACCTTCAGGACCTACGTCTTCCCGGAGACCGAGTTCGTGGCCGTGACGGCCTACCAGAACGACAAGGTGAGCCACCGTGAACACTGGGACAACCGCCTCTAATATGGCTGCTATACTTTGCATAATAAATGTTCTACATGCGCCCCCCCTCCCCCACCACCAACCCCCGAAGACTTAATCTGATTTTGTAGGTCGCATAATTTCCCCGCAGAGGACTCCCATGTCCCCACTTGATTTTTTTTAATTGCTGTTTTGCCTGCACTTGCGGGTGTGAGCAGATATTTCTGACTGTGAATTCAAATGCGAGTTAAAGTAGTGCGCGTTATCTGCAATTCGTGGGCTGTAAACAGGCTGTTACCTTGAGCACAAGTGAATACATTAGGCGTATAAATGTGGAGAATGTGTTGTGTTTTGGTGTGATGGCGCATCAAACATGGCAGCCATGTTCCTCTTGTTTTATTTGACTTGTAATCTTCCTAAAACCTACTGCTACTACCCACCCTAGAAAGTTCAGGTTTTGGGATTTAAGAATGTTTGTTTTATAAATCGAGCATTTTTTAAATGAGGTTTTGTATGTGTGTGTTTTTGTTGCCGTTATTCTAAGCCCCTTCGCTGAGCCTCCATCCTCCTCCATGAGGCTAATTGGAGCTTGTGTCTAGGGGGGTGAGGCTGAGGGGGTGAGGAGGGGGTCTCCTTGTAAAAGTTTATGGCTAAAGAGTCACCATCGATTAGAGGGCATTTAAAAAGGCTGGTCACCCTGCAGCCACAGTGGACAGATGCTGTAAGACACTCTCTCTGCTCAGATAGCCAGCGCCTGGAGCGTCCTGTACAAGGGCCACATTATAGGGGCCTCCAGGAGCTCCTGAGCCACACAGGCCTCTGCCGGCTCTGGTCCGTATACGTGCAGCCACACCGGCCCTCCTCTACGATCAGGAGGAGGCAGCAGTGATCCAAACCGCATTATTAATTATTGATATGATAGTCATCTGTTCCACTATCGCTCCCTCTGTTTTTCTTTTTTTCTGGGGGGGGGGGCAGGGCTTGTGTGGCCCCATAGAGGAAAAATTTCGCGTGGCAGAATTTCTCTCCAGGGGCCTAATGAGAATTAACGCCCCATTGATTACGCTTTTATTAATAATGCAAATCGAGGCCCAACCCATGGCTCCAGTCCCAACAACAGGCTGGTTTCATGTGTGGTGTTTATCGAACACGTTGTTGGCCCAAATGTGGGCCAGGGTGCAAGACAATGGCTCCCAACTGTGTGTGTAGTGGTGTGTTTTGTGTGTGGACCTCCTGGTTCCATTCTCTAATTGTTTCAAGACTTTTTTTGAACAGATAAACGCAGGCTGACAGATTGACAACAACCCTTTCGCCAAAGGATTTCAGAGACACAGGGGAACGGAGGAGAGAGAAAAGGTATGTAACTGCGCCCAACACTTGTGTGTTGTTAATTCTGCAAGGTCATGGTGGTCCCCAAATCACCACTTATTTATTATTATTATTATTATTATTATTATTAATGGGCTATTATTACTTTTGACAGGAAACAGCTGACCATGCCGTCGCTGCGGATGTATGAGGACCAGTGCAAGGCGGACCGGGAGGGCGCGGACTCGGACGCCTCGTCCAGTGAGCCTCCGGCCGGCAGGGACGCCGTCCACTCCCCGCTGGGAGCCGGTTCCAGCCCGCTGAGGTTCAGCAGGCCCAGTCGAGGTAAGAATAGTTTGTTTTTATTTGTGGGCCCGTACATTGCGCGTGAGGTAACGGGATACAGGGTGGAATCCAGCTGTTGTTGTAATAATTTAGAACTTCAATTTAAAATGATGTTAAATTGGCTAGAATATGAATGCAGTTTGGTGGAGGGGAAATAATCAGCAAGGTGAGGAAAATCGGTAATTGTCGTGCAATATAATTATTTTTTAATTAATTTAAGCGCCTGTGTGATTTGGATTTGGGTGCATTTTGGCGGCCTAACATCTGTATGTAAAACTGTGTGTGCACAGTAAGATCAGACTGAATTTGGACTTTATTATATTCACATTTGAATTAAAATGGACATTTGAGTTCAGTTTATTTCTAAAATAAATGTCTTATCTATTTTAGTTTTTATTGGTCTGATCCCATTCTTTTACTTCCCTTCATTTATTAAACTAATTTATTTAACAAAGCCAGCATTACGTTTAATGAGGCCTGTTATTAATATAAATGTGTGGATGTTTTTAATGTTTGCATACTCAAAAGCTTTGCATAGTCTGAGACATTATACAAAGGCTGTTGTTTGCTGCTCTTGAATATCAAATACATTTAAACTAGAGGCCACAGTGTTAATTTCTTAATGAGGAGCTGCATGCAGGGTGGATTTGGAGAGTTTGAGGCTCCCACCAAGCTTATATTGCCCTTTCCAGCATGTGTGTGTGTGTGTGTGTGTGTGTGTGTGTGTGTGTGTGTGTGTGGTCGTGTTGTGTGTGTATAAGACTGTGGACAAGGTGGGAGATAAATGGTTGGACACTCTGCTTACACCTCTTTTCTGATCCCCATGTTGCAGATGACAAAACATGCACTGACAGTGAGCAGGAGCTGGAGCATCACGACGAGCTCTGCGCTGGCTCCAGCAGCCCAGGACCTGAGCCTGTGTCCCCCTACAGCTCTAGGTGCGAGGAGCGTGTGAGGGACAGGCCTAGCACAGAAAAGAAGGACGACTCCATATTCAGTATAAGGAACCTTGAGAAGGACAAAGCAGAGAGCAGGCACAGGAAGGACAACACAGACGCGTTGACAAAGGACTCTGAGGCCGGAGGCATCAGTGCCAGCAAGGAGGCCTTCTCCCCTCTCATGGTCCAGACCGAGAGCCCCTCGCACTTCAGTCCGGGCCACTTACAAAGCCTGGCTCTGTCCGGCCTGCACAGTCAGCAGTTCTTTAACCCTCTGAACGCCGGATCACCGCTGTTGTTTCACCCCGGGCAGTTTGCCATGGCCCCTGGAGCCTTTTCTGCTATGGGAATGGGGCATCTATTGGCCTCTGTATCCGGAGCAAGTGGTTTGGAGAACGGCAGCCTCTCCGCCCAGGGCACAGGAGGAACCCCCAACCCCTTCCCCTTCCATCTGTCCCAGCACATGCTCGCCTCTCAGGTAAGGAAGCTCAGAGAATGATCTAGTTTGCATGCACACCTGTAGCACTGATCTGACGTCAGTGGGACAAGAAGGCTGGAGCTTTGGGTTGTAGACAGACAGGAGTAGTTTGACCTTCTGTTCATTTGAGTGCAATCAAAGTTGTGTTTAGTGCTGAAAATAAGCAAAGTTTCTTGTATTTGCTGCATGAGAATATGTTGGACCATTGTGAAAGTATTTGACAATTTGATAACAATTCATTTTTTAAACAGGCTCCTGTAATAATCATTTTTCTTTATATAAAACACTTGTTGCTCTGTATCAGATCTGTTTGATATTTTCATGAAAATCTGGTTTAAATCATCTGAAGGAACTGAACTCTTTGGAAAAATGTGCCATTAATTTGATTATCTGACCACTCGACTGGAAATAGTAACTCTTTCCTCTTCCATATTGCAGGGCATCCCCATGCCTCCATTTGGCGGTCTCTTCCCATACCCCTACACCTACATGGCGGCGGCTGCGGCAGCTGCTTCAGCCTCTGCCCTCCCAGCCACCAGCACATCCAGCCCACTCTCCAGGAACCCCTTCCTGAGCTCATCCCGGCCCAGGCTCCGCTTCAACCCCTACCAGCTCCCGGTGTCGCTGCCCCAGAGCTCCAGCCTGCTCACCACCAGCCTGCAGGGCAGCCTCAACAACCCGGGCTCTGAATCCTCCAAACCGGGCAGCAGGGAGACGAGCCCGGCCCCAGAGCACCACAGCAACCACAAGACAGGAGGGTCAAGCGGGAGGACCGCATCGCCCAAAACCTCCATGAAGGACTCGGTGAACGAGCTGCAGAGCATCCAGAGACTGGTGAGCGGCCTGGAGGGCCAGAGGGAGCCCTCCCCGACCGCAGACTCTCCCAAGTGATAAAGACTATCTGTTTGGGATGAAGACTTAACCAGAGGACTATAAGTGCATATGTCCTGTACAGCACATTGTGGAGACTGGGATGAGGGTTGGACCGATATGGGTCGGTGAAGGCCGATAACTGGTGTTTTGCGGAACAAAGCTGCAGATAGAAATTTAATCCGTAAGATTGAATTGAATCTTTTGTTAAATTCAAAGTACTGAGGACGTGTGTAAACATTTCGACCATCATAAGACCCCAAAACTGTCCCCTGAATCCCTGAGCTTTAGGGTTAGCAGGCACGCCCATGGAAACTCTGGGATACATTTCTACACTGATAGAATAAAAATACAAAATTAGCAATTCAATATATAAAGTACAATAAAAAAACACTAAACTAATAATAAAATATTTCAAATCTGACTACATCACATCAGAGAGTAACACTGATCAGCTCCACTACAGAAATATAATCAAACTTTATCATATCCATTGTATGAGAGGTGGACCACACAGGGCAGTATCGGCCCCATATATCGGTCTATAACCTGCCTGCTGAGGGCCTGCAGCTCCACAGACTGAGCGGCGCACAGTGGAGAGAGTGTGTGTTGTTAACTTGAAGCATTTGAGCATCCAGGACCCGGTTTTGAAAGAGTCCCCCGAACAGGAGCCTCATCATGCCGACAGGCAGGTCTCTCAAGCTGCATCCAAAAACCTTTTTTTTTTTGTCCAGGCCTGATTATTTCAAAAGGCATGGAAGGTGAACGAACAATGAACCGATTATCATTTCATGCCAGAAAAAAAAAATGTTTCTGAACTATTTATGTAATTAAAGATTAAAAAAACAAAATCTGTAAATAAAGCTAAGATCCAAGAATATGCAATTGGTATTAATTTATTCAAGGCTGTATATTAAGCGTGTATATATTTCGAATTTAAACGTTGCTTTTCCCCCCTTTTTACATGAACATATACTGTAAATGAAAAGCTATTAGCGCTTGTTGTTTGATAAAAAGAAAAAACAACTGTGTATGAAGCATCGCTGAATTTCTGAAGACGTGTGTCGCCATGTTTTAGTCTGCATTCCACCGACAAAGTACAGAGAGAGAGAGACAGAGAGAGACCAGAAGAGAACAGAGAGAGCTCCACATGGATTCAAAAACACCTCAGGTTAATTTCACTCAGCCAGGAGACGTTCGAAGCAATTCCTCCAACGGCGGCATCATTCATATCTATTCATAAATATATTTAAAGATGAAAGTATCTTGTTATGCTGGTTTCCGGGTTTTTTTTTTTTTTTTTTTTTGATTGTCTCACAATTTCAATAAAAAATCGTTGTGCTGAAATCTTGCAATAAAAAGTGCTATACAAATAAAGTTATTATTATTATTATTATTATTACTTACTTACTTACTTATCGTTATAATAATCTAATAAGAGCATAACAGATGTGGAAATATATTGAGATTTTTTGACGCAGTATGGTTTAACACACACACATACACATGGGGCAGGAGCGCCCTCTGTTGGCCAAATGTCTCCCAGGAAGAAGGGCAGCTTCCTTTTGCATGTGGTTTGTTGAATTTGATAAGAAAATGTCACTGGCTTTAATTCACGTGTTATTAAAACGACATTTAAATCAGACGGTGAAATGTGTGGGTTAATTTGTTTTTGTGAACATTTAGCATAAAAGCTGTGCATATTCAATTATAATAATGCATTTAAAAAACATTTTAGGCTTTAATTGATCAATAAAATGAAAGACACAGAAGTTTTTCTATTATTATTATGGTTTTCTATTATTTTGTATACATATATTTAGCAGCAGTGTGTGTATTCATTGTTATTCCCGGGTCTGTCCCCTGCACGCACCAGCTCTATTCCGAGCAGGTCCTCAGTCACCGTCAATCAGCATTTCCTTTACTATTGTGTGGCCAGCTGTATTTTTAGAAAGAGTCGAGTAATGTAAGTATTTATAGGAAGAGCTGTCTCTGCTGCACACACACACACACACACACACACACACACGCCTCCTCTGTAGCCTGACGCACACTTTAAATGTTTGAACTCGGCTGGTGGCTGGGCAAAATCCTCATTAAATATGTTTTATGTAATTATAATAAATGTATATACATATAGAGATAGAAATGTATTTATGTGAACTAATGTAAATGTTGTGGCCTTTAATAAGATAAATATGTCATAAATATGTGTTCATATATATAATAATGCCATTATTGTGGATTTTCCTCATATTGTTCCTGCTGTTTAAAGCATTTATCTTCAGTGTTTGGAAGTCAAACTGTAGACCCCTGAGTGTGTGTGTGAGAGAGCATGATGCAGCGGCACTGTGTGTGTGACTGTGTGTGTGTGTGTCTCGGTTTAAAGGGTTAAGCAGGGGGAGTTTAGGGCAGCAGACAGCCTTTTGTCCGGGACCCGGCGCCTGTCGCCTGCCTGCCGGCCACAGCCTCCAACACCGCCCCGCTTCCTAATTAGAGAACCCCCCTCCTCCCCTCCTCTCCTCCACTCCCCACCCCTCCTCCTCCTCCTCCCCTACTTCATTTTCTTTTCTTTCTGCAGCAAAACTCTCATTCTGGCGACGGAGGCCATTGTTGCCACTCTGTTATCTTCAATTAGCAGCGAGGGCGGCTCGACCTCGCACTCTGGGAGAAAAAAGTATTTGTCTAAATCAATCAGTCAATGAGTGATCAATAGGCTCCTGTGGAGGCCCCGTGGATCATAACTAATGGCTGCTGACGGCGTGGGGTAAAAAGGCCAAGATTATTCACAACTCTGTGCAGTGATCAGTGTAGGGCCTATGTTGTTATTTAAGCTTTTGTAGGCCAACAGACGGAGGTACACAGTTGTGTGAGCACAGGAGACAAACAGCACCTTTGCTGGTTTTTACTGAGAGGTCTGGATGACATGACAGAGGGTTGACCTTCACTTTCTGGCTCCTTATCTGCAGCAGATATTTCAGTCTCACATTACACAGATATCCGACAGCCTTAAAGGTTTATACTTGTTCTCTTGTTATTTCTACTCATTCATGTGATTAAAAAACGTTGGAATATGTTCGGTGTCATATTCAGTATTCTAGTTACAAATGCACATGGTTTGGTTACAAGGTATTTCATTTAGTGGAGGAAAAGTAACTTGACTTCTACTTAGGGATAATTTTGTGCCACTTTTACTTTACTTGACTTTTTCCAATATTCTGCCAATTTTCTTTAAGATATATTTTACTCCACTATATCTATTATTATATTTATTAGAGTTATTCTACACAGGAGCAGATTTTGAGAAATATTCATGGGGTGTCCAGCTGGCTTTAAGGGGTGGCAAAAATATATTCTGATTAAACAATCACATATTTGCTTGGAGAAATCAATAAATTGTTTTATTTTCAAATCTTCAGACAATTTTCCAAATACACTTAGTATAAAATGTGGCCATAACAAATCATTCAATTCATTTTTGTTTTAAAACCGAATGTGTTTAAATTTGACACCAAACTCATATTTTACATAAAGAGTATGATTGGCTTAAAAACTACAGTTCTTTGTTAAAGAATAAAATACACAAATATGTGTAAAATAGTTAAAATTACAGCACCAGCTGTAAACATATTAATGCATCAGTAATAATATAATAATAATATAATATGAACACTGTGAGGCCAGTAACCTGCAGAATGAGTAATTTTCCTGTGAACATTTTGCTGATAAAACTTATACTTAAACATAAGCATAAAATATAAAATACTTTAAATGTATTTTACTTGTAATTAAGTATTTCACATTTATTTTACTTGAATAAAAGACTATAAATAAAATTCCTCTACTACAGATGAAACTGATATGTAACTGAGTAAAATAAGTTTTTTGGCAATCACTTAAAAATAAGACAACTTCAGGTGGAATAATAAATTAACATGTGAACCTGACCATTTTTTCTAATGATATACGCTGCTCACATAAAGCTGTTGATTTATTTGTGAAATGATAATAAAGTGGTAGGATGGGGAAGGAAAAGGCTGTACCAGGCTCAGAAACCTCCCTCTGATCCCTGCAGACACTGACTGATTTGGATATTTGAAGGTTGAGACTGATGTGTTTTAATTGTGAAGCAGCCAGAAGCCAATATTTTATTTCAAAAATACTAAAATATTTTTTTTTCTTTTGCCTTGTCGAGCTGCAAAATAAGCCTAAAACAGCATTTTAGACTGTAGGGAAAAATTCTCTAATATCTAATTTCATGACATTAAAGTTGCATCAAACTGACTGGATGCTGTCTGTCTGTGAATGAAGGGTCAGTATCGGTGCAGTATATCGGTCTGACAGTGCTGGGAAGCAGCCCAGAGACCTGTATGGTGTCTACAGAGTGTGTATTGTTATGCTGGCTCTGTAGGGCTGCTCTCTGACAGCACAGTCGGCCTATTGGCTGCCCCGCTCAGGTGCAGCCACCGCACTGGTCCAAAGTGGAGCAGGAGGGGTCCAATCACAGGCCACTTTTCTCAGCAGGGAGGAGAAGGAGGAGGAGGGAGCAGAGCCTCACTGCAACACTTCCACCAGCCAATATCTCTCACACAAACACACGCAAAGGTGGAAAGCACAAATGCAAAGTTTTTATTTTATTCACCAGTGAAGTGAAGGCAAGCATGCAGATTGCTTTGAATTAACTCCAATCGTCAGTGCAAAAGATCCATTAAAAACACCTAATAAACACACCTATAAAATGCACTTATAATAGAGTACAGGCAGATCACACAGGCCACCAGAGCTGTAGGATGTATATAATGAAGGAGGGGAAGTATGCAGTAAGCAGATAATATTAGTAGAATTTACCATAAAAAGTTTGTCTTTATAGAAACTCTGTAATCATATTCAGCTGTCAGTCATGTTGGCACTTTTAAGGCAGGCAACAGGACACATGCAACAAGTCATGACTGAGTGTGCCTGTGTGTGTGTGTGTGTGTGTGTGTGTGTGTGTTTATGGCTCCTGCTTTTTGGATAGTGAGGGACTGCATTACCACAGCACGCAGGCCTGCCGCCCCCTCCTGGACACGAGGAAAGAGAAGACTGGAGTCTGAAAGAGTTCACTGAAGAGTTCACTCTGGTATTTATAATGACAAATCCACTGCACAGCTATCATTTTTAATTACACTTCAGAGTTCAATCAGTTTGTTGTGTCTGTGATGTTTTTTCCCTCTTGCAGACACAGGACCAGTGTCTTATAAATAATGCCAACACTGTAAGCTTTTAAAGTAACGTGGTACTGACACCTGTTGACTGCCAGCCAGTGTGTTGCTGAAGGTTTCTGTATATATACATTATATTATAGCTGTCAGTTTACCTTCCCAAGTGCTATTTCTCCATAAATTTGGATTACAGGGCCTCAACTTTTTAAAAATCATTGATTTATTCAGTGTTGTCCAGTTATTTACTTATTCCTGTTCGGGGGCAACAGGAGTCAGATCCTGTCCCAGAATGCACTGCGCAAGGCCTAGCTCAGGTTAACAGCTTGTGATTCATTCATTTTTTCATTATGTTTACACATTCTACCCATATACATTCCATTTCAATTTTTTATGTATATATATCAGTGTAGGTCAGTGGTTGTCAAACTTTTTATGGTGCGCCCCTCCCGCACAATTTTTATCAAGCATTAACAATGATGGGGGAAGTAACTAATAAAAATGGATCAAAGTTAAATTTGAGTGAAATTAATGTCAGAAAACTGTTTATTTGCCCAGCATAAATCATATTAATTCAACTTTTCACTAATTTTTTCCACCCTGGAATACTGCATGAAACAGCTGACCCCTGCAGACCCCCACAGTCTGAGAAAAGCTATGTAGGCTCATCAGCCTACATAGCTTTTCTCAGACT